TAAGATATGCATCTCGATGAATGACGTAACACAATCGATATTCCGGCGTGATTTATTCAATTGCGAATGTTGCACCGAACGACCACTTGTGATGTCTGTCATGACTTTTCTCGGTGCAGCATCATTTTGTATCACCTGGTTTGTATTCCGACGTCATCCATATGCATTTTTACTGCTTGATTTCATTAACATCGCTGTTTGCATCCATATTTTAAAAGGCATTCGATTCCCGAATTTGATGGTAAAATACTTTCAAATCTTGTAAAAAATAACTTTGAAAAATTTAGATTCGTGTGGAATGTTGTTACTGGCTAAAATTTTGAAAAATTACAGTCGTAGAAAGTGAATTTCAATATTTTTTGCTTTTATACTCAAAGATACTGGTTAGATAGGTTTCTGAATAATAAAGTAAATCACAGTGGAAATATTCATAATTTGAAAAAAAGAAGTAAGACATCAATCTTGATTTGTTATATGCTCATGATAATTTAGTGGTTAACAGTTCTTCTGGTATGCATGTTTGTGTATGATATCTTCATGGTATTTATTACACCTTTTCTTACTAAAAGTGGATGTTCCGTGATGATTGAGGTAAATTTTTTACGTCAAACTATTCTCAGTTTAAAATTTTTAAGTTCATTCCAATGTGAAATTTTTTCGTTGCCATTGTTTACCATAAATTATAGTTTCTGTCATAACTAAGCGCAAAGTTTGGAAAATGTATGTATATGTGTATGTGTGTGATTTATTATTTTTTATTTTTTTTTTGCAATTCATAATCAAGCAAATAATTATATAAATTATAGTTCTGTCTTATTTTCTACAAAATTATATTGCATTTTATATATTTTTGTTTACAGGTTGCATCTGGAACGGATTGCTCAAAAGCAAATGGTGGTTATCTTATAGCACCAATTAACACTGATATACCAGAAAAGGTAACCTTCACCCCAGAAATTTTGCAAAAAAAAAACAGAATTCTGAATTTTTCCTATTATTTAAATGATTAGCGAAATTGGAAAAAATTGGAAGCTATTTTTCATAAATGATATATTTGCAGTTTCCGATGCTTTTTCAAGTGCCACGATTAAGCGATCCGATGATTTCATGCATTGATTTGGAAATTGAAAAAGGATTTCATCCAGTAATCCTCGGATTAGGTGATATTATAATACCTGGTTAGTGTTTTTTTAACACAGAATTTTAACAACCTATAGAGCTTTCTAGTTATTTGTAAGAAGAAAAATTTTATAGTATTTTACCTAAAAAATTATCTTCAAACTAATACTGTTGTTTTTTAGTTTAATTGTTACAAACTATTTGTTTACTCATCGTAATGAATAAAATGTCTTATTATGTGTGGAACGTACCACATTTAAATGCTAGAATAAAACTTACTGTTTTATATCACATTAATCAGATTATAAGGATGCAGATTTCGCTAAGTTCATCTAAATTCAGTCCCTTTTTTGTTAGAATATTTATAAAGTGAATGACGCATTTGTGCCTCAAACGCAGTCTCATGTATCGTCTGAAGGAAGTTTCATATTCCTAATCATCTAATAAATTAATCTTAGCACAATCAATGATTAGTCTGTTGGTAAAAAATAAGACAATACTTAATAATTTACTATGATTCCTGGCAGAACCAATCATTCATTTTTTTTCCTTTTCAAATAGGTTATCTGATCTGTTTTTGCTTTACTGTCGATTTCGTTGTTAGCACACGTCATCTTTATGGATTTATTTCAATTATTGGTTGGTCTTTTTTTATTAATTTTTCAACTTTGCTGATTTTATTTTCATCTATGCTTTTCTACTTCACATTACCATTTTTTTTTTGCTTCTGCGAATATGTTAAATTCAGTTTAATTTGAAAAGAAATTTTTTAATTTTGCCATATTTTTCAGGTTATGGAATTGGTCTTATTGTAACATTTATCGCTTTAACATTGATGGAGACTGCTCAACCTGCTTTAATTTACTTGATTCCTTTTACATTAGGACCAATTATTATACTTGCCCTTATTCGGAAAGAGTTTAAGCTTCTTTGGACTGGAAATTTTTCGAAATCTGAGGTTAATAAAGTTGTTATGATTTAAAAAAAAATAAAATCAAATTTGTACTTATTTCAGATAATTCTTTAAAACTTTTTAGTTAGACATGAAATGACGTAAGTATTGATTAATTTCCTTTCACATTTCTGTCGAATTAGAGAAAAAAAAAATTTTCAGAATTCTCATGTTCCGCGAAATTCTGCAACAAATATAGCTAACAATGATCCTAATTTTGGTAGTAATGATGTTGTTCCATTTACTGTAATACCATTACCAACAACTTCGCCTTCTAATGCAGACAGAAGAGAAATTTGATATTTACTTGAATTTCTCAAAATATTGGTGATAATTGGTTCATTAGTCATTCAATTTGACGTTTCAAAATAATCAGAAAAGTTTCAGTTGATGAATTAATTGAATTGGGATAAGTGTTTATACGATCTTTCATATTTCAATCATTTTATATGTTTGTTATTGAATTATCCGGTCTTCTATTCTATTCAGTATTTATAATATTCTTTCTTTTATCAGGAATTTTTCATACAGTTCTTTGCAACTAGCTATTAGATTTTATTTTATTTATTCACTTGTTTTCATTTATGCTGTGATATTTGTTGCTTTAAGTTGATGAATGTAAAGATAACAAGTTTAAATGAATATCAAAATCATGTTTGTTTAAATACTTTGTAATTATTATTTCATCTTCCTTTTTCTCATTTTTTAACTGTCTTTTTTGTTCACAATTATTTAATGCAGCATATTTTTCTCCGGTAATATGATGAATGTGTGGGATCATTGTTAAAAATTACTTCTGTATTAAATATTTACAGTATTCTATTCCTTGATTAAACAATTTAATAGCTTTAATACTCTTATTGGATATATAATGCAATATGTGATATTATCCCTTGCATACATGTTCTTTGCATACATATATGAAATATATAATGTCTTTTTTTTCTTATTTCCATATATGAAATATAGAATAATGAAAAAATCAAAACAATGTTATATCTTTAATTTTTATAGGTTTTTTTTTTATTTCAAATATTCATCATTTTCCTTCTCCTTCTTTTTCAAATATTATTGTATCTGTGTTCCATTTATTGTTTTTTTTTTCTCTGTTGATTTCTTATTGCTATTTTATTTCGAATTGTTTGTTATAAAATGTCATTCCATTATTACTTCCTTTTTTCACTTTTTTTTTTGTCGAATTGCTCTAAATTTCATATTTAATAGTATCACTATTTATTTGCTGATATAATTATTTAACGCATACATGTGCAACGTTCGAATTCTTTTTGTCTCTCATTGAATTTTTCATTTTGCAATGGAAATATTTAATTTATATAGAAAAAAAAAACCTGTTACAGAACGCGATATTATTTTTATCATTATTTATATAAATCGTGTGATTATTACACTTCACTGAATATACGAAATAATCATTGTTCTTTAATTAATATATAAAAATTAAAAGCTTTCATTTTTTCCATTATTACATAGAAAAATTATTAATAGTAGAAGATATCATGGATGATTGTCGATTCAAAGTGTTAATTATTAATTTTAAATTAGACGAATTTGGAATTTCCAATACGGTGGTAGTAAAATGAACGCTTATTTTCATATCATTTATATAATCGATAGAAAGAGAGGGAGGAAGGAAAGCGTTATCAAATTTCGTTAATGAGAAAATGTGAGTTTAATTAAATGCTAGTAAAAATAGCATGGCGTTATTTTAAGTGGTTCTGTTTTTTTTTTCTTTTTTTTTGGAACATCCCAAATGGATTGGTGATGTAATAAACCCCCGTATTTGATTAGAAAATTAGATTTGAATGTGTTTTCCAATTTGAAAACGTCGATTTCATTTATTTATAAAATTTTACAAATAGTAAATGAGGCTCATTTATAGAAACTCATTTATAAAATGGAAATTAGGCTGGGAGGCACACAAGGCTGATTAATACAATCCATAGTTAGCCAAATTATGCTGATAAAAAATAGTGGTCAAATGAATAACAATGTTAAGATATCTTTAGATGTGTTGATAATATTTTCTCTTTAACAGATATTGCAAAATGTTAAAAATGATCAGGTTAATGAGAGGTAGCAGATTTCAAAATATGCATTTAATGCGTTTTGGCTTATTATTGATTCATGGAAACTTTGCACGAAAAACAATTGACGATTGGAAAGATGGTTTTTTTTGTCCACATTTTAAGTTTCCTTACATTTTAACTTTTTCGGCTAACATGGAGAAAAAAAGCGGAAGGATTGTCTAGGAATATTATTTCAGAAAATGCAGAATCTGTATCAGGGCTTTATAGAACTAATTGTTTGTGACATAAATCTAATATTTTTTTAAATTATGAAAAAAAAAATGTATAGAATACTTATTTGATAATTGTTACAATAAGCAGTTTATAAACTTTATCGGTCGAAATTCTAGTCAGTTAAATTTTTTCATTATAAATAATACACTGTAGATGATCAGAAAGATATGTGATGATGATTAATATTAATGCTTGCAGTGATAAAAGTTTCAATCAATTAAATTACACTGAAGTGTTGTTTGTGTATAGTAACAATGATATCATTGTAATATAGCTTCTTGAGAACAATCAAATACATGATTAGCATGCAGTTACATGGAGCTATTTGGACTAGTATCTAAAAAATACACGTAAAGTAAACATCATATGCAAATGATGAGCGTGTTAATCTTTGCATGGTATAATAACATTACTAAATTTTCATGCTATTTCATCGTTTAAAGAAAGTATTATGAAACAGATTAAATTAAAAGTTAGTGTTAACATTGAAATGGACAGGGTGCGTGAATGAACGTTTTTTTTTTTTTAATCAATTACTACTTAATGAAATACTTATCGAAGTGAAAATTATTTAGAGGAAAAATATGATGATTAATTATAAAACATATACTTCAACCAACATTAACAACGATTTCATCAATAAATGCTACAATTTCAATCCAAATATATATTTAACATTATTACTCATAATATAATTTCAATTCAAATATGCAATTCATATTAGTACTCATGAGATAATCATATGATACTAATTTGATACTTATTTGCATTCTAATTAAAAGTTTAATTAATTGAGGCTTAAATACATGTGCAACTATCTCTTTCATACATTGTTTACTGTCGTATTTTGATGCATTTATACTTTGCTATTAACATTTCTATCAATCATTTCGAGCATTGATTAGTATTCATTATCAAAAAAATTGCAGCAAATTAAAAATGAACCGATAGTCTCTAGAAATTTCAATTAATTCATATAATTAATGAATTTCATCATCGTTATTTTGCTAACGATACAATTACTGATGAAATAATGAAGAAAGATGTTTTACTAAGTGGAGATCTTTCACATAAAATATAATTTTTATAAGTTTTTTTGAGAAATCCAATAATAATTGAAATTATCCAATAATAGCAGAAGTAATTTTATTACGATGAATAAGAATATGCTCTAAAATGCATTTAAATAAGAAATGAGCTCCAAAATAATATTTTTCAAAAAAAAAAAACTTAATAACAAATAATTCAACTATTAATTATTGCATAATTTTGATGTAAATTTCAGAGTAATATGAATTTTCGAACATTTTACCAAAGATAAACATTTGATTGGGCTGATGGGAAAAAAATAGTAAAAGAGTTTGATTTTTGAAATTACAACGCTTTATATTAAGAAAGAGAAACTTTTAAAACATTAAATTAATTTCAAACTTTCAGTCAACTCCAAATTTTTCGTCTTTACTTTCGTCTTTTTTTTGCTTTATTTTAATTTAAATCTACTTAAAAAAAAGAAGATTGTTTCTATTACCTTTTAATGTATGTATTCTATTTAATCTTCTATCATCTCTTTATAATTCAACTATGCATATTTTAAAATAAAAATAAACACTCGAGTAATTAAAAATGAAAAATTTTCAATTAATTAAATGAAAAGTAATGATATTAAATGATAGTCAAATTATAGTAATAAAATGAGTTCATCACAATTAATAATTTAATTTTTCAAAAAAAAAAATTCTGTCTAAACATTTTCTCTATTAATTAAGGATGAATAATAAATAATTTGTTACATTTAAAAAAATGTAAAAATTTCATACTTTTTATTTTTGACTAATTTTGCAAAAAGTATAATTAAATTTTAGCAATTGTTGAAATGAATTCATTCATTAAATTTCATTCTATTTTAGCTATCAATAATCTTTGCCATATTAATTAGGGATGAGCAAATAAATATAAAATCTTATTGTTCATTAGTTGTATTCAATGAAATCTTATTGTTTATTTGTTGTATTTAATAAAATCTTATTGTTTATTTGCTGTGTTCAACAAGTCATATTTTTTATTTGTTGTGCTTAATAAAGTCTTGTTGTTTATTTGTATGTTGTGCTCAGTAAAGTCTTGCTGTTTATTTGTTGTGCTCA